GCTTTCTGAAATTGCTCCGGTGTATGTGTGTGCACATATGAATGTGTAGTATATACAAAACTATTGCAATCAGACCACGAGGCCAGGTCGAGTTCTAAGCTATGGCTGAGACTCGAGTAATGATAGAACAACAGAGGGCGCTGCTAAGGAAAAGAGGCGGGGAGGGGAAAACAACTAACAAAGTGTTATTAATGGCCGCCAAGCCTTGTCAAGCGTTCATGTTGCCGTTATTTATGGACCACACTCCTTTCAAAAGGCCCCGCTAAAACAGACAAGGTGAAACAAGCACTCTACAACCTTAAACGTTCGCGGTTCAAACCTAGCAACAGAGAACAAGTCATCGACCCTGCAGCTTCCGGTGGCGGCCATAATTGCCGTGCGGTGTCAGGGAATAATTGGCCGCCATTACACAAACGCAAGCGCTCTCTCTGAGGTTTGGGTAGCGCTGGGCTTTAAGTACATAATTGTTGGCATTTTCGTGGACGGCACAGGGAATCGAGGCAAACACAGAATGGAATGTTGCTATATGCAGACAGCGACTGGCGCCCAGTCCTTGTGAAAGGCAGGCAAGAGAACAATCACTCTTTGGGGCGGGGATATCGTATTGTGCTAAATGTCAATGGTACATGACATTTGAGATATAACTTGCTGTCCTGACATATGGAGGGTTTTACTGATCTGGCAGGTAAGATAGAGGAAGGATAGAAAGATAGAAACGATACAAGGGCGAGCAGGGTCCGTGCAATTACAGCGGAGAAACTAAATACGCACTATGGTGGGAATCAATAAGGGTTTTTCAGCTGAATCAAGCTGCAACAGTTTTGACCAAGTTTAACCGTAACCCTGGTAATTGTCGGACGGCAAGGGGAAGCCTAATATGGCAAATACAGAGTCAACAGAAGCCACTGAAACTAAGCCGTAGAATATAAACAAAAACTAGAAGATTTTGTTATAACGGTGGCCACTGGCCACGTAATTAGAAAACGCCAAGTCATGCGGAATTCATACTGGCAGGAGTTTATGTAGAGAGACAGTGCAAAACGAAGTATCGACAATATGTTCCACCGTAGAGAGACAATGCAAAACGAAGTATCAACAATATGTTCCACCGTAGAGAGAATTAAATGGTTATAGAAGGGATAATCAACAATGGACTATGGATACAAATAAGTAATAGAGCCCGTAAAATCCGTTGAGTGCTACTTTCTTACAGACACGGTTCACTGACTCATTTTTCCCATATATGAACTTAGTAATCTTGGTAATCTGGTAGTTTTGAACACCGTGAGATGTGGATGTTACGTGGACTGTTTTCGACTGCCCAATGTGGCCTCTGTTTGTAAACTGCATATTCAGAAAATGATTAGTGGCCTGTTGCCACAGGACTGACGGTGCCTTATGCGGTAATACGTTTCGACTGTTGATTTGTTATGACTGCTACTTTTACCCCTGAGGAACTGCTTGTATAATAAGCCCTACCCCAAATATTATCTCGAGTTAAGATTGTCAGCTTTCGTTCGTCCGTTCAATGATACTACGGATTTATAAGAATATGAATTATAAATAAGGTTAATTGCGTATCCTTTACAGGACGTTGCAGAACCAACACTAACAGCCCCTGGCTGTTGTGTGGTTTTTCTAGGCAAATTTACGTCCACTAGTTTACCATTGCTTCTGGACGGTCGGTTTTCTTGATACCACTGTCGAAACCAACGCAAGACGCATGGCCCGCAGCTGGAATCGAACCCGGCATGCCGGCATTACAAAGCGTTCGCATCGACTAAGCCACAGAGCCGACCGAATTATAAATAACAGACATAAATATATAAGTCAATATAAACAAATACAATTTAATTAACTTATTTACATACATGTAGATTTTGGAAGAAATATGTTTTTTTTTTTTGTAGATGTAGATTTTTGTACTTAGGGAAAAATAACATCCACGGAAATACCAACTTAGGCTTCTTTTAAAGCAAAATCTAAAAAAATACTCGTCTTTGAAATGAGGAATGTTGGTGTTGGCACCTCAAGTGACGACCTTATGAATTTAAAGTGAAACTACGCCGTCGGCTTTGTCATTGAATCAGTAAATTCAATATTTAATGTGAGACAGTGACAGGCTGTCTTTGTGTAACACATTGACACTCTTCTTTGGCCACATAACGACAAGAGAGACATTGAAGAACATCATGACATATGGAAAGATAAGTGGAAAAAGAGGCAGAGGCAGACAAAGAGAGATTATGCTGAATGGGCTGAAAGTCGGACTGCATCTGCCTGAGAGGCGAGGAACCAACTGTCTGCATACAAACAAGCCAGATCTGTAAACGGATATGTACGCAAAATTCAAGTACTGGAACAAGACAAAGGTCCAGATGTGGTCCAATAATCGGAACTTTCCGATGGAGTTTGGCAGCCAATAAACGCGAAGAAGAAGAATACCCACCTTATGAGAACTTCAGCATCCCGCCTTAACCCACCCCCAACACGCACACTCAATCACATACACCCCCTCCCCCCCCCCTTTCCCCCAACACCACTCAAAAACAATACTATTTATGGTCTACACCAAGTCTGTTCTATAAAGTTTACCCAGGGGCCAAAACTGTGAAATCCAGGATCGTTACAGATGAGAGTTATGAGCCTCAGCATAGAAAAAGATCGTAACAGAATACAACTAGCAGTGATCGGTGGGCCACTTCCTAGACCTCTACGGGCAAGAGTTGGCCCGCGGGCCACCATTTGAAAACCCCTGGGCCCAGGCAATCAATAAACAGGCAAGCTGTATGTAATCACTGAACTAATTACCTGCGAATCCAGCATGTCCGCCCCAATTCCCCGACCTATATTTGCATTTACCAATTACTCGTGGGTTTTTTCAAAATGTGAAATCTCCAGCGATTGACAGAACAATTATCTGTCTTACCCGTTATCAAGTATGGGTTTAACAGCTTTGAGAAATGTGTTGCCAGGTTTTAAAAGCAAAGAAAGTTAAACATGAAACTAAGTGCGAGATGTTCCAACTGATCTCATAATTCTTCCACACACTGTCACTGTTGATGTCTACTTTGTGTATTATCTATAGCCAGCGTCTTCTTCGTCTATGTATTGGCAGTAGTCAGCGTCTACCAAGTCCGCTCAGTGTCTATAGTAAGCGTCTACCAAGTTAATGTAGTGTCTATAGCCAGCGTCTATCAAGGCTTTGTAGTGTCTAAAGCCAGCGTCTACACAGTCCATGTAGTGTCTATAGCCAGCGTCTATCAAGGCTTTGTAGTGTCTAAAGCCAGCGTCTACCAAGTTCATGTAGTGTCTATAGCCAGCGTATATCAAGGCTTTGTAGTGTCTAAAGCCAGCGTCTATACAGTCCATGTAGTGTCTATAGCAAGCGTCTACCAAGTCCATGTAGTGTCTATAGCCAGCGTCTACACAGTCCATGTTGTGTCTATAGCAAGCGTCTACCAAGTCGATGTAGTGTCTATAGCAAGCGTCTACCAAGTCGATGTAGTGTCTATAGCAAGCGTCTACCAAGTCCATGTAGTGTCTATAGCACGCGTCTACCAAGTCCATGTAGTGTCTATAGCAAGCGTCTAAAAATCCATGTAGTGTCTATAGCCAGCGTCTACCAAGTCTATGTAGTGTCTATAGCCAGCGTCTACCAAGTCCATGTAGTGTCTATAGCCAGCGTCTACCATGTCCCTGTAGTGTCTATAGCAAGCGTCTACCTAGTCTATGTATTGTCTATAGCCAGCGTCTACCAAATCCATGTAGTGTCCATAGCAAACGTCTACCAAGTCCATGTAGTGTCTATAGCAAGCGTCTACCAAGTCCATGTAGTGTCTATAGCCAGCGTCTACCAAGTCCATGTAGTGTCTATAGCAAGCGTCTACCAAGTCTATGTAGTGTCTACAGCCAGCACCTACAAAATGCATGCATTGTCTACAGCCAGCACCTACCAAATCCATGTAGTGTCTATAGCGAGCATCTACAAAATCCACCCAGTGTCTATAGCCAGCGTCTGCCTGGTCCATGTATTATCTACCGCCAGCGTCTCCCTGGTCCGAGTACTGTCTGTAGCGAGCGTCTAGAAATTCCAAGCAATCTCTATAGCTTGAACGCTTAGGGAAGGTGAGCCACCTCTCACCCCATCCCTTACCCCATAGCATTTGTAATGGAACCGAAGGGCCCATCTGACCATGAGCAGAAGTTGTCTATTCAAGTTTTCATTTAAACTTTTCTTTTATATTATTCAAAATCTATTTTTCTATTGATTTGCGATTAGGCACTTATAAAAATTAATATTATTATTAGGCAGTTAGTTTGAACAAAGAAGACACAAACGATTGATTGCACAATTTATTGCCTGGCATATTTCGCTGTATCTCGTCAGGTGCATGCTACAGTAACAACTGATTAACATGAAGCAATTAAATGAATTCTTGCAAGTGAAATACAAATCCGACTACCTACACAAAATGTCGGAGACCGGCTTGAGGAAACCCCAGCCCCTATGTTTTCTCTGTGTCGTCACGCCTGGTTAACACAAAGATGGTTGATAAAGAGAAGTGTGTGATGCAATGGGGAGGTTGAAGTGATGATAAACATAAATATTCATCTATGCCGCCCCTCCCCCTTCGCAATTGCTAAAGGTAAAGTATTGAGGATCGACATAATTGCTCGAAACTTTACTCCACATGACTTGGTTTGTCCCCTGAAAACAGATTGCCGCCAGCCGGAAGCGTCGCAGACAGAACGAACGCCGTAGCTCCGGTGACGATCCTCATGGATTTCCACAAAAACGCCCTCGTTAATCTAGCGACGCAGCTGTGAAACGAACCGACGACCTTCAGAGCGCGAGGCAAACAGCTTTGCCATTGTGCCGCGAAATGGCGTAAAATCATAGGACAAATATCACGAAGGACAAAGCAAATGCGACCAGGTGGTACAGCAGTAAAGAGACTTTGACAAGTGACAGACAGTGACAGATGGCATGGACGTACCTGGGTTTGGGTCAGCCCCAACGAGGCCGCTAGCTCCGCCCTTTCGGGCAGGGCCAGATACTGCGTCCTCTGGAACCTTCTGTTGAGTTGCTGCAGCTGCAGGCTTGAGTATATGGTGCGCGGTTTCCTCATTTTCTTGCCTTTCCCGTTAATTCTCAACTGATCCTCAACTTGACTTTTGTCTGTGGAGGGAATAGACACAGAATGTACGGTACAATAAACTGGTCAGAAATTGTAATTTAACCTATTTAATTGTATGGATGGTACTAGTAAGGGCAGTTGTAAACCACTTCTTGAGCTCAGTGACTCACCAAAAGATCAGGAGTAATAACCAGGATAGCTCAGTAGCCAAAACGTTCATCTGTGGGCCTGATGGTCTTAGGTTCAACTAAGCAACCGGGCTGATGTTTTTCGTTGACTTATGGTTCCCATGTCATCGTGCATGAAATAAGCACAAGAAAGTGACTTGGGAAGTAAAGGTGATCAGTATGATTACATTTCTCTTGGAGTGATAATTTTGTCTATTAACATATGGCTGGACCCTTGTGTCCTATCAATGGACTGAAAACGGTAACTACTTACATTACTTACACCGCCGATGGACTGAAAACGGTAACTACTTACATTACTTACACCGCCGATGGACTGAAAACGGTAACTACTTACATTACTTACACCGCCGATGGACTGAAAACGGTAACAACTTACATTACTTACACCGCCGATGGACTGAAAACGGTAACTACTTACATTACTTACACCGCCGATGGACTGAAAACGGTAACTACTTACACCGCCGATGGACTGAAAACGGTAACTACTTACATTACTTACACCGCCGATGGACTGAAAACGGTAATTGCTTACATTACTTACATCGCCGATGTACTGAAAAAGTAATTACTTACATTACTTACATCGCCGATGGACTGAAAACGGCAATTGCTTACATTACTTACATCGCCGATGGACTGAAAACGGCAATTGCTTACATTACTTACATCGCCGATGTACTGAAAACGGCAATTGCTTACATTACTTACATCGCCGATGTACTGAAAACGGCAATTGCTTACATTACTTACATTGCCGATGGACTTAAAAAGTAATAATGTGCCGCATCATTACTGTCCCATATAACCAATCCGCAGCCCACAGGGCATTCATATAGGCGCCCTGTCCTTATCTTCAGCAGCCACCGCAGAGTTCCAATACCAATGGTGACAGTAACAGACTGATTATATGTCCGTCCTGCCTTTCCTCTGATGGTAGAGTATCGGTGAGATTTGGCTCGTCAGTCCTCGCTGCATTACTGTCACCAGACTGTGATGATTAACTTGCTGATCCGAATTGTAAACGCGCTTACACAAGGCCCAAACTACAACTGCCGTATCATGCATCAGTATTCCTCCAAGTTATGCAAAGTCAGCCAATCTGTCCGCCTGCTCATTTCCTAACATACACTTAGGGTACAAGTAATGAGATCCAAGCGGGAGTAGCTGTACCTTTTAGAGGAATCGCTACGCCAACAGTTCGGCTGTCACCTTTATGTCTTTACATGCGATATATTTATACAGGGTATCCAATCAGTTTCCATACATAGGAAACAAACACGTTTTTGTTATGAAAACCATTTTTATGTATATAACGTGCTCTATATGACTACAATTCTTTTGAAAACCTGCAATCTCAGAAAAGCCGACAGCACACACATACACTCAATGCACAAGACAGTCATTAGAAGTGCGAAGACAACAGTCCAGCGTCGATGGAAGCAAACATGTCATTAGTTGCGCACATGCAATTATTCACATAAGGCACCATCAGTTATCTGACAACAGGCCACACCATTTTCTGAATCTGCAGCTCGTAACACAGACCTCTGTTTACTACTAAGGGGGAGAAACAACAGTACGTTTGGAGTAAAGCATGTGCAGAAACGTGTAGGTCCCCCAGTAGAAACACTCAAATCCCAAGTTCTACCATATTATGCGTAAATCTCCATCAGAGTTAGAAGTAAAACGTAGCACTTATGGGTTACTACCCTTTTGCCATTATGTTGATTCGTCGTTTAAACCTAAAACCTTCATACATGCTAACCCTCCCCCCATCCCGCCTTTTCCCACCCCCGCAGCAGAATGAGTCAAATCTATGATTCTACCCACTGCATTGTTATTCCATTAACAAAACCTACCCAATCTCTAGTACTTTTACCCTACGTATGTTTGCCGCCCCCACCCCTCGCTAGAAACTCCCAAATCTGTTTCTAGCTACAGTAAAGCATTTTAAACAGTCCACCCCGGCTTCCTTGACCTTCCCCATCGACCACTTTCACAATACAAGCCAGAAATTGGGTCCTGCCACCACTACAAACAAGGAGGCGTTGCACCAGGTCGTAGAGATAATGAGCTTGAAACTTTCACCGGTCTGGCAGACGGCCATTCACAACAGGGAGGATATCGCTGCAATTATTTTCTTAAATAAATCGCCACTAGCCTATTCAGTAGCACCATTCCTATTATCTATGTAAATATATATATATATATATATGCAAATACTGATACTGCAGTTCTCAGAATATCCAGTTTCATAAACATGCATTAAGTGCATGAGACAGTCGTCAGAAGTGCCAACACAAGCTGGACACTAGAAACGCAGTTCATCATTGATGAAAGCAGCAGTTTATATATGTACGAAAAGAATATATAGAAAGAAGTAGAAAGATAGGGCACTCTGTACAACATAAAAATCGAAAGCTACAGCTACAATTCCATGAATCAAACCCGTCACCTCCAAATGGCGTATGTCCCTCACTATAAACACAAGCGTATTAGGAACACCACCAGCTAGGCACCCCTAGGAAAAGGTGTCGTCATTGGGAATTTCTTTCGTACAGCTTGAAATCTACAACTATGAAATACGGACAGAATTCATCTCAAACCATTGAAATGGCATGACAGATTACAGAGATGTATAGTACTAAGCATAGGTAGAATAACAAACACAACAACAATTACAAACAGACCGGACCGTAAAGCTGTGTCTAGAATACAACAAACATTCAAAGAAAGAGATTTGATTAGCGCCATTCCTGTCTATAGCAACGGAGTTACAAGCTTCGAACTCGTAACTATTTAGTTACTATTTAGTTTTAGGTGATGAAGATGAGGATCTTCCTCTTCTTCGTGTTCACCAGCCTTAAACTCTGGTGGAAAGTTCTGGTTGTTCATCCACTTTTGGACTGCAGTCCTGTTTCAGAACCCGAGTGTTGCGTGTGTATACGTTTAACGGGTCTGACTCATTTGTATGCAGACTGCTGGTTCATTGCCTCTCAGGCATATGCACTCCGACTTCGAAAGAAGCTCCCAATTCGTTAACTCTTACGACATGCTTTTGGGTAGGCAGTGGGTCTATTCTTGTTTTCCCAATAATAGGGCACCGGAACCCAAACGGGGAAGAGGATGATGATGTTGATCCGTTGTTTAAACCTAAACTATTTAGTTCATAAAGATATCAGGGCTATGTTAAACTAGCATGGTCAAAGACATGCCACCGCCTTCTCTTCCACCAATTTTTGCCATGACTGACTGACTGACTTTCTACCCCACCAGGACATCACACAAGCGACAAACACCCGATGACACAAAGTGCCACCATGTGGATGAGGGTAGCTGTGGAGAGGTCCCAGAAACCGCGTTCAGACAATTGGCCACATATATGGCCTGCCTATATTGCGGCCCCTGGCAAAAGCCAGGGTGGGGCTTCAAATAACAAAAAATTTCGTCTTAAAAAAGACGAAACTGGATATATTGCGTTTTTGCGTTTTTGCCATAACCTGCCTGGACTTTTAAGTGACTTCATAACCGCCAGGGGCCGTAATATAACCCTGTATAGACTGAAAGGATCATCATTATCAATTTCCACTTCTGTCGTTAAGCGTTGTGGGAAGGAACAGTGTGCGAATTATTGCTTGACTGGTCATCAATGACTATTGTCCTTCCGTGTCTATGTAGAAGCTCTTTAATGTCATCAGTCCATATTCTCCTAGGGCGGCCTCTTACTTTCACTTCAGATCTTTTCATGTGTAGCGACTGCGTTGGTAGTTGTTCTGGCTGCATTCTTACTACATGACCAAACCATTCGATCTTCTGTTTCTCAATGAAATTGCTGCATGGTGTTGTTCCTACAGTCTGTCTGATATTATTTCTAACTTTGTCTCGGATGGTTAAGTTGGCGGCTCTTCTCAGGCATCTCATTTCACAGGTATTAATTTTACGTCAGTTAGCCTTTGATAATGTCCAAATCTGGCACTGGTAGCTCAGTGTTGGTTTGAATATGCTGTTTATAATCTGTTTCTTGGCGTTCATACTTGTGTTTGAATGTCTTAATAACGATGTCAGTTGGTATATAAGTGCACTGGCTTGTTGGTATCTTGCTTCTATTTCCCGATCTATTCTTCCGTCCTCCGAGAAAATACTTCCTATATATTTAACTTGTTTAACTTGCTTCAGATAAGTACCATTTAACCTAATATGTAGCGGACTAGGAATTCTACTGACTTGCATTACTTCAGATTTAGTAGTTTATTTTTATGTCATATCTTCTGCATGTTGAACTTATCCTGTTGAAATGGTATTACCGTCTACTCCCCTCATTGTAGAACAGACACTGATCGTCTGCAAATAGCAGCTCATATATTGTGTGTGATCTAATTCTTCTTCTGGAAAGTAAAATTCCTCATTTTCTGGGTCGACTGCTTTAACGCTGGCTTCGTTTGATATTCTGTCTATGTATATAGTAAATACGAGAGGAGAGAGCACACATTCCTGTCTCACCCCTGTATTGATTGTAATCATGCCTTCTTGTGTTGTCACTGCGCTTTGAGAAGTACGGTACATGGCCACAATGGTATATAGCAACTGTCTCTGTATCCCATAATCCTCAAGAATAGCCCACAGTTTGTTTCTATATATACTATCAAACGCTTTTTCTTGATCTACAAACCCAATATTCATCGTCATATTCAATGATTTTCTCGCTAACTTGTCTTAGTGTTAATTATGCATCTGCGCTTTTCCTTTCCTGAAATCAAATTGTGATGTACTTAGGTTTTGTTCCTCTATAGGTACTGAAATGATATACATTGTTTGAAAAAATACGTCTAGTTATTCAGTAGCGCTTT